ATTCTCCATGGTTTTGTGGTTCGTCCAGTATTTTTCTTGTTATCGATTTCTAGTTTCATACCATGTGGTTGGGGAAGATACTCGATATGATTTCAACCTTCTTGAATTTATTGAGACTGATTTTGTGGCCCAACATGTGATGTATCCTGGAGAATGTGCCATATGCACTTGAGAAGAATGTGTATTCTGTTGCTTTGGGATGGAATGTTCTTTATATGTTTATTAAGTTCATCTGGTCTAATATATTGTTTAAGGCTGATTTTTCCGTGTTAATTTTCTGTCTGGATGATATATCCATTGATGTAAGTAGGGTGTTATAAAGTCCCCTACTATTATTGTATTGCTTTCAGTTTCTCCTTTTAGAGCCATTAATACTTACTTTATATGTGCTGGTGCTTCTATGTTGGATGCATATACATTTATAAGTGTTATGTCTTCTTGCTGGATTGATCCCTTTATCATTGTGTAATGCTTCTCTCTGTCTTTTATTACAGTCTTTGTTTTCAAGTCTGTTTCATCTGTTATAAATATAGCTACACCAGCTTCCTTTGTTTCCATTTACATAGAATATCTTTTTCCATCCCTTCACTTTCAGTCTGTGTGTATACTTACTTCTCAAGTGAGTCTCTTGTCGACAGCATATAGATGGATCTTGTTTTTGTATTCATTCAGCTACTCTGTGTCTTTTGATAGGCAAATTTAGTCCATTTACATTTAAAGTAGTTATTGATAGGTATGTAGTTATTGCCATTTTGTTAATTGTTTTCTGGTTGTTTTTGTAGTTCTTCTCTATTCCTTTCTTTTTGTTTTTCTCTATTCCCTTGTGGTTTGATGGCTTTCTTTAGTGTTATGTTTAGATTCCTTTCTCATTTTCATTTGTGTATTTACTATAAGTTTTTGCTTTGTGGTTACCGTGAAGTTTTTATATAACTTCCTATGTATATTACAGTCTGTTTTAAGTTGACAGCAACCTAAATTTGAGCACATTTCAAAACTTTACATTTTTCTTCCCCTTTACGTTTTATATTTTTGATGTCACATTATGCATACATATTTTATACATCCCTTAACTAATTATTGTAGTTTTAGTTAATTTTACTATATTTGCTTTTTACCTTCATACTTGGTTTATAGGTGATCCACTAGCTTTACTATATATTTACCTTTTCCAGTAAGATTTATTCTTTTTACTAATTAGCACCCTTTCTTTTCAGCTTAAAGAAGCTTAACATTTCTTGTAGTGGTGATGAACTCCTTTAGCTTTTGCTTATCTGAATACTCTTAATCTGTCCTTCAATTCTGAATGATAACCTTGCCAGGTAGAGAATTCTTGGTTGGAAGTTTTTTCCTTTTAACACTTTGAACATGTCATGCCACGCTCGTCTGGCATGCAGTTTTTCCTGAAAAATCTGCTGATAGCCTTATGGAGTTTTCCTTGTATGTAATAAGTTGTTTTTTTCTTGCTGCTTTTAAGATTTTCTCTCTTTAACTTTACCATTTTAATTGTAATGTATCTTGATGTCGATCTCTTGGGTTCAGCTTATTTGGAATTCTCTGAGCTTCCTGGACATATATGTCTCTTTCCTTCCCCAGATTAGTGAAGTTTTAAGCTGTTATTTCTTCAAATAAGTTTTCTGGCCCTTTCTCTCCCTCTTCTCCTTCTGGTATCCCTATAATGCAAATGTTATTCCACTTGATATTGTCCCAAAGCTCCCTTAAGTTATCTTCTTGTTTTTTTTAGATTCTTTTTTCTTTTGGTGCTCTGTCTGGGTGAGTTCTATTGCTTTGTCTTCCAACTCACTGATTCTATCTTCAGCTTCATCCAGTCCACTGATGAACCCCTCTAGTATACTTTTCAGTTCAGTTGTTATATTTTTCAGCTCTGTAACTTGTGTTTGGAGCTTTCTTATGTTTCCTGCCTCTTTGTTGAAGATCTTGCTGTGCTCATCTATTCTTAACCCAAGTTCCATGAATATCTTTATGGTCATTACTTTGAGCTTTTTATCATATAGATTGTTTATCTCCCTTTCATTAATGTCTTTTTCTGATATTTTGTCTTGTTCTTTCATTTGGAACATATTCCTTGATCTCTTCATTTTGCCTGACTCTCTGTATTTGTTTCTATCTATTAGGTAAATAAACTCCCTCTCCCAGTCTTGAAGGAGCGGCCTTGTGTAGATGTCACTTGGGGCCCAGAAGCACAATTCTCCCTGACCACCAGAGCGAGGCACTCAAGGAGTGTCCGTTGTGTGGGCTGCAGGCACTTGTTGGCCCTGGTGGGATTGCGAGAGGGGCAGGGCTGCTCACCTGCTGCATTAGTGGGGGCTGCTGCATGAGCAGAACAGGGCCAGGGGGTGGCACTCCTCGCCCTTCACATGTGTCAGGGCCACATGGAGCATGGGGCTGTTGTGCAAGGCTGATTCTCCACTGCCTCAGGTGATGCTGCCCATGAGTGGTGTGGGGTGGGGGGCAGGGCTGCTCATCCACTGTTGTTAGCAAGCTTGAGTGACAGTACAAAAATGACGCCCACCAGTGCCTGCAACATAGAGGGAGCCTATAAAACTGGCATCTGCCTGTATTCCTTCCCCGGAGAGAGAGTCCTAGCAGACTTCTGCCTGTCTGGCAGACACTTTAAGATTAGCAAATCAACCTCTTTCACATATGGTCTAGGCTGTTTTCAAACTGATGCTTTTTGTGCTGGGTTCCGGGTTGAGTGGGTCTGTATATGAACCCTTTCAGAGCAAAATCTTTGTTCCCTACCGTCCTATGTCTCCTGAATGTAAGCCATGTTGGTTTTCAAAGCTAGACGCTTTGGGAGCTCATCTCTTTTGTGCACGACCCAAGGGTTGGGGTGCCTAGTGTGGGGCACAAACCCCTTACTCCTCAGGGAGAAGCTCTGTTTATTTATCTATTCTGTTTTTTCTTGAAATCCCTCCCGATTATGGATTGCCATGCCACGGATGGGGTTTTTGGCAAGAGAATGTCTCTGCCTCTCCTATTTGTCTTTTTTTTTTTTTTAAAGATTTTATTTATTTATTTTTTCCCCCAAAGCCCCAGCAGATAGTTGTATGTCATAGTTGCACATCCTTCTAGTTGCTGTATGTGGGACGCGGCCTCAGCATGGCCAGAGAAGCGGTGCGTCGGTGCACGCCTGGGATCCGAACCCGGGCCGCCAGCAGCGGAGCGCGTGCACTTAACCGCTAAGCCACCGGGCCGGCCCACTCTCCTATTTGTCTTGATGTGGCCCTTTTATCTTTTGTTGTGGAGCAGGCATTCAGCTAATTCTCATGTTCTTCTCAGAGGGATTTGTTCCATATATAGCTATATATTTATTGTGTCCATGGAAGGAGGTGAGGTCAGGACTTTCCAATGCCACCATCTTGAACCCACCTCCTATCTCACATTCATAATATTCATTCCTACCCATGTTCCCCAGATACCTGTCTGTATAAATTAGAACAGTTAAGTAGTTCTTTAGGAGTATAGTACACTTCCTCATGGGTCATGTGTTGTACCTCACCTTTAGGGTCCTACTGAGACTTGACTAGTTATAGGTCTAGGAGCAAAGGGACGTGGGTCATGAGGAGACTCAGCATTGTCTTGCACTGCAACTGCCTCAAGGGAGGTCATTATAGTTTCCTCAGGGAGGGCAGGGTCAATCCCCTCAGTTGGGGTGGAGAGGATGCTCCCAGTGAAGGTGGGGAGAACTCTTCTAGTAGAGCAAAGAAGACTCATCAGAATTTAGAGGGTCAATGTCCCCAGCTTCATCAGGGTCTTCCTACACATTCCATTCCAACTTAACAGTATTCCATTTCTTCCCAATCAGTGCCCTCACTTTAACAGTAGATACCCATCAAGACGAGGAGTTCAACTTGCATTGTAATTCAGCCAGTCACAGGATGAGATTGTGCATTTGATTTTCAACAATCTGAGCCCTGCAGGTAGAGGAGATAAGTTCTCTGAGGACACACATAGAAGCTTTCTGGTCATTTATGTGGCACTTGAGCTGGGAATTTGAATCCCTGAGGTCATCCTTTTCTTTTCCCATTTTGTCCAGCAAAAATAGGAGCAACTAAGCAACCTCATTATATTTTATAGTTTGCTAAAAATGTTTGAAGTATCATATACACAGCCTCTCAGATCTTTGCTTCTTATAAGTGGTGGATTAAGAGTATTCACTGGAGATATTTGCATATGTTCATTGCCAGATCATGCCATAGACAATCAATGCTCTCTTTACTACTGGAAATAGAGTCATTAGCATCTTTAAATCTAATCGAATCATTTTCTGTGCCTATATGTACCCATAGATGGCCATTTTGGACATAAATTCAGGCATTATAAGTGGTTCAGATAATTAATACCTCTTGTGGATCTCCTTCTAAGAGCTATACATTTTATGGTAATCCATAGTTATCATTTTATTTTTTGTTTTCTTTGTAAACAATATATCATACAGTTTAATCCAAATTTTGAATGTAATATAATAATAGATACCTATCCTATTTATGAATTTAACATGTTTCTATTAAAATTTATTTCCCTACATATGCCTTATTTTCATGGCATCTCTGACCTGACACTGATACATAACAAATCAAGTAAAATGTCTCTTTTGACCAAGCATCACTGAAATCCCCATACAGTTGTTATTTTTATATTAATAAATGAATAAATAGACTTGCACAAGTAAAAATATTTACCATTTGACCTGAATTTTGCCACTGAGAACATTAATGATAATAACATAACTTCACACACTTCTTTTTAAACATTGAAATGTGGCTGTTAACAATATTGTGTCTAGCATCCTTTTGGGTCTACCAGCATCAGAGGCCTCTTCTTATGTGGTAGAGCCTGCTTCCATATAGAAGTTGAAAATGCCAGATTGTTGCTTCTCAAGGCTCCCTTTCAGCTAGGGCATGGCGTGATGTAGGTTCTGAAAAGGAGAGTCACCAGTAGGAACTATCAACACTCTCTGCCGATAAGTAGTGGCAACTATGGCAGATACATCTGATTTCCAGCGAGAGCAGAAGCAGCAGTTCTCTTGGCAGTATGCAGTGACCCGTGTTGGTGGTGCTGCTGGTTCACACTGTGACATCCAGTGTCCAGATCTAGCTGGAAGGTTGGAAGAGGTTCTGTGCCATGGTTTTCATTGTAGCCTCTGAATCCAGTTCTCAAACTCGCCCAAAGATTCTGTGAGCTACTCAATATTCTTTTAATAAATTGCTGTACTGCCTATATCAACCAAATTCTGTCACAGCACTGACTAAGGCCATTCTACACACATTAATAGAAAGTGTTAGAAAAAACTTTTATAAATATTATCATTGTTAACCATTATTTTGGGTGATTTTATTTCTTATGTGTTTTATGCAGACTGTTAGATTTCTGTAAGTTAAAACTACTTTTTTTGTGTTCCTTATTTTTTTTTTCCTCTGTTACTTTTTGGTGTTACTTTTTGGTGTTATTGTTTCCTTTAAAATTACAAAACAAATACAGGCTTGGTTTAAATATTATTTAAAATTTAGGATTGGAAATACTGAGTATTTGGTGTATTTGGTGTTGAAGATATATTGTATTCATATGGCTTGGGGTTCCCAGCAGTCAAATGCTATTTTGGGAGATGGTCTTTTCTTCACGAGTAAGTCTTTAACCTCTACCCTTACTTTCTCTCCTCTCACAACTAATTAGTTGTCAGATCCTATTGGCTCTGCCTTCATGACACCATTACATATCCTTATTCCTACTACCACCATCCTATTCAAGGACCCTGTTAACTCTTTCTGGAACTTTTATTTAATGAATCTTCCTTTCTTCAATTACATCTGCCTTCAGTCCACTCTGAGGCCAATTTAATTTTGCAAGAGCAGAACTGTTAGCAATAAACCACTAAGCCAGCTAAATTGAATATGAAATCCACAGCTTAACAGGTAAGATCCTCCACACTATGGCCTCAGCCTACCTTCTCAAACACCTTGTTACTGCTCTCCTACATCTACAGAGCTACAGCGAAATTGGCCACTTTATTGTTAAACGGTGTCCTTATTTTTGAATTTGCATCTCTTTGCTTGTGATGGCTGTTACTTCCTTATTCCTGACCTATAAACTCTTGCTTGGACGTGCCATCAGTACACCAAGGTCTCCTCATATATTTCCTGGCTCCCCAAGAAAACAGAACCTTCCTGTTCTCTGAAATCTCACAAAAGTTTGCCTAAATTCTACTTCAGGGATTTATAGTGTATTATATTTCCAACATCAGATTATATATTTCTTTAGAAATTATCCCCAATAGTGTGTCTTATGCAGGGTATTCATATTGCTTTAAACTTACAAGATATATAATAAACATTTCTTAAATTTAATTCATTGATATAGGTTATTGGTGAATTGCAGGTTGCCTAATGATCATGGGGCAATGGAAATCAGAGCAAATAAATTTACAATGTCTGGCTCTAAGGAGGAATAGAAAATGTCTGAGGTTGGTAATGAGCAGAGAAAAGTCAGAGTGTGTGGAGTGAAGTGAGAAAGACTAGAAGCAACTGTTATTGCCTGGGATCATTGTGACTCTGCCAGTTAAGTTTTCTGCTTCTGCGGGAGGGAATGAAGCTTTCACTAGCATCAGTGAGCACCATTGTGTGAAACAAATTATCTAGAAACTAGGAGGTAAAAAGCTTCATATTGGAAGCTGAAATGGTATTATCTTTGGGTGGTTAATGATTTCTTTGAAAGTGTATTTTTAAGTATTCAAAACAAATTGCAGTGTGTCTTTCTGTACAAAACAAGTTTGCTATGCAGTCTGACAAATCGACTTTTGGTTTCAATTTAAAAGACAAGTACATGATTAGATTTCTGCGCATCTATGAAAATAGGAGAAATTATCTCTTCCATTTAGATCAGGCTTGCCTTCTAAGGAACCTCTATGTTTCTTTAACATTGAATTTGGGTGATTGTTTTATTGCAGAAAGCAGTTACTCTCCCAAGGGAAGTTTTAAATTTAATGGAACAAGCATTTGGTAATACCATCTGTTGTGATTATGTGCAAATATATAAGTTCTACTATGAAGGATACTACGTGTGGCTCTTAGTCCTAAAGACTCACACACTCTAAACAGTTAGTTTTACTTAAACAAAATACCTTTATAGTTAAAAAAATGCCCATAATACTTAGCAAAACATCTATGTTTTCACCCTTTGTAGTTAGGGTAGAAAAGCTGAAAGCATGCACTTTTGTCTTTTTAACAAAGCAACAAACTTGTGGTATTGGTTTCTGTAGGTGGAAAAAACCCTGCCTGTGATTTTATATATCCTGAGTAGGTTGTTTATCACATTAGATTGGAAAGTCAAATTAGAATAGAAATTAAAAGTGTTCTCGCATGATTAAAAATAATCCATATCTTTTCAGATTTGGCAGATATGTTAGTATCATTGTTTTTAAAGAATCTTTGGAAGAATGTTGAATTAGAATGCCAGTTGTTCAGGCTGCAGACTGCATAACAGTATGGGCCCCATTTACCTTAGAACAGGCTATGTAATTTTGCAGTAACAAATGGCCCCTAAATCAGAGTGGATTATCACAACAAAGTTTTTTTTTTTCTTGCTCATGCTATATGATCACTGCTGACCCTCTACTGCATGTCACCTTCATGCTAGGTCTTAGGCTGGAGATATATCTTTTATTATGAATTTCTGGTCACAATGAAAGTGGGGAAAGGAAGCAATAGTGAAGCACACCCAGGCTCCTAAAGTTTCCACCCAGAATAATAGAGGAACTTCTGCTCGTATTTTATGGGATAATGTGATTAGATGACCACAATTCACCAAGGCATGGATGTATAGTCCTATCACAAGATAGGGTAGGGAATTTTGGAGAACAATAATATAATCTACCAGAAGCACCATTCATATGAATGCATAATGAGGCCTCTCCTTTCTTTATTTCACGTAGACTGCAAATTTTTATGCTTGGAGTCTCCCTGTACATTTATTCTAGTTTAATTTCTTTAAAAACTCTACTATATGTTGAGGTATGGATATTCAGATTTTTTAAATTTTGTTTGAAAATAATCTGTATCCAAATTAACTAGAGAATTGACTTAGACATGTCATTAAATTTGAAGTTCAAGACCCTGAATATTAATAATGAAGCTAGCCAGCTGATAACTCCTGTGCTTTTAGTTATAAGGTGACTTAAATTATTACTTTTTTTTATGTTATCAGACTTTAAAGAATAAATAGTGTTCATTAAGATGCTTTTCATGAAGAACAGCCTAATTTATCCAAGTCATATTAATATATAATCTCTTTAAAATCAGCAGTATTATTTATTAATAATTAATTCTAATGGATAATAAGTTTTTAAATTTATCATATATTGAGACCAGAAGCTCTTTAAAAAGGAAAGAGATGGCTCACAACTTTCATTATTAGTTCCATAGCATCAATTTTAATGCTATTAAGCGTTAATTATTTATTTCATTACTATACAAATTAAGATTTTAGACTTTCTCTCCTTGATTTCAAAAATAGCAATATTTAAATAATTGTTGGAGGTTATAATAGAATTCCGTTTTAGATGGATTTTGTCATGAGAATCCACTTTAGATTTCATTTTTAAAGTAAATAAAGTCAATTAATTCCATTTTTTCACATGATGGCATATACCCTTGAAATAATTAATTCTGTTTACAGTGTTGCTGGTAGAATAGGAAATATCAATTGGTATAAAGTCATCATAAGATAATTATATTATTTTTACTGTGAGTCAAAATATTGTTTGTAAATTCTGACATCTACCTTTTCATTCTCATCAAAGATTCTAACTCTGTTGTTCTTTATTCTAAAGCATTCCATGTAAAGTAGACATGGAGTGGCATCTTACATTGGTGTCAGCTTATTATAGATAGCAACATTTATGTGCCAAATTGGACACTTCCTTATACTCTCTAAAAATGTCCATCACAGCCGGGTTTTCTTTAGCACTGAAATAGTTATTTCTTCATTTAAGCTCCAGAGAAGTTGTTTGCTGGTGTTTAGTGACCAACAATAGGTGAAAAATGCACATCTTCAAACGTTCAAATCATATTCAGTGTGGAATTGCATTTGCTGAGGCTGGAATTATGAGAGACATGTGGTAGCTTAGCCAGTAAGGCACATGGATGCAATAGCAGGTTCTCTTCTCCTATTTCATGTTCCATCTAGAATATACATTCATTCAGTGCAACAGCTGGTAGAATTACCCTCAGTGTTTAAGTAATCTGCCTTCTTCTCTTCTCCAACCCCCTATCCCCTACCCTCTTACTCTCCCCATCTAGTCTAAATGTTGTTAGTATCTCCTATGTGTGGTGTGATTCCACGGTATGCTTCTTTAGTTGCTTATTACAGCCTCTGGCAGATTCATCCGCACATTTTCCCGTTTCATTTGCGGGTGTTTGGAATCACTGTCACATTAATGTAAGTGCACAGATACATATTCAGACACTAGTGCTTCATAAAGTGCAGCCATTTATATATTAATTCCATTCTTATCGCCCCTCTTTCCCTCATTTAACCTCACCCTAGACCTTCAATTTGAATCAATGAATTGACTTTCCCATACTAAAAATAGTTTGTAGAGATTTTAACCTTTATTTACCTAAAGTAGATTTCATATGCCATGCAGAATGTGGACATGAGCAAGGAAGCTGTAAAAGAGCCAAAGTAGAAGAAAAATGCATATACTATTTATGTGTACTTGCTAAGTACTCTCAACGACTTCAAGAATAAGTGAGAGAGCTTTGTATGGGATGGAATTAGAGAGGGAAACAGTTTTATAGCTAAAGGCAATGAGCAAGTGAAAATTGTCACCATTAATGCAAGTTCATTTGTATGCACAATGAAATGAAGAAATCCACATTATATACACTGGCAGGCCACTCTTAGGAAGCTTCTCTTAACACCTCAGGTGTAATCTGCATGAATGAGCTCTAAATGAAGTTATAATCGTGGATAAAATTGTATCATCAAGGCTTGCGCTGAAAAGGGAGTAGGAGAAATGGGATCAGGTCCGAAAGCAGGTGAGAGAAATAAGTCCCAAGGAATCATACCTAGGCCCTCTGCATATTGCTGATTGGAGGGCCTGAGATCCTTTTCTTCTTTCTTGAGAATAATGCAAAATTGAGTAATAAGCTCACTGTTAGGTGTAGAAACTAACCAGGAATAAATTCTGTCTTCACTAGAGAAGACGGTCCTGGAACACAGGAGGTTGGTACCAGTTGCAGGTTTATGAGAGATGGAGGCATTGATTTCACATAGTGCAGAGACAAAAATGTTAAATTAGTGTTTGTTGGATGGAGGAATGAATGAATGTCAAAAAATTAAGTACAAAAATTTATTGCAAAGGCGTAGAAAGAGA